CACCGACCTTCCTCAACGTTATCTCTTCACCTTGGCCTTTCTCTATGTGGGGCATTGATATGATTGGGATGATTGAACCCAAAGCTTCAAATGGTCATTGTTTCATCTTGGTAGCGATCGACTATTTTACTAAATGGGTGGAAGCAGCATCTTATGCTAATGTAACCAGACACGTGGTAGTCAGATTTATCAAGAATCAAATCATTTGTCGATACGGTATCCCGAGCAAAATCATCACTGATAATGGTTCGAATTTGAATAACAAGATGATGAAAGAGCTTTGTGAGGAGTTCAAGATCGAACATCATTCTTCTCCTTACAGACCGAAGATGAATGGGGCAGTTGAAGCTGCTAACAAGAACATCAAAAAGATTGTCCAGAAGATGGTGGTAACTTATAAAGATTGGCATGAAATGCTTCCGTTTGCTCTGCATGGATACCGTACTTCAGTTCGAACTTCAACAGGCGCAACCACATCTTCCCTAGTTTATGGTATGGAAGCAGTACTCCCCGTGGAGGTTGAGATTTCCTTCTATGAGAGTGTTGATGGAAGCTAAACTTTCTGAGGCTGAATGGTGTCAAAGTAGATATGATCAGTTGAATTTAATTGAAGAAAAGAGATTGACAATGTTGTGTCACGGTCAATTATATCAGCAGAGAATGAAGAAGGATTTTGATAAGAAGGTTCGACCACGCGAGTTCAGAGAAGGTGACCTCGTGCTCAAGAAGATATTATCTTTCCAACCTGATTCTAGGGGCAAGTGGGCTCCGAATTATGAAGGACCGTATGTCGTTAAGAAAGTTTTCTCTGGAGGTGCCTTGATTCTCACAAATATGGACGGTGAAGAGCTCCCGCGTTCCATGAACGCCGATGCAGTCAAGAAATATTTCGCTTAGGTTTGAGTTGACAGTTTGCTAAGTTGAAAACCCGAAGGGGCGGCTTTGGTCATCCCGGCTGTGGTATTTGAGCACATTTCGGAATTCGAAGTTGTTAGGGAGAATAGTGATCATTGTTTTTGTGTAACCCTTTCTTTCATGTACTATTTCCCAAACTTTTATAAACCGTTGGAGTTGCGTTGTTAGCGAACTACCATCTTATTAATGAAATTTGAGCATTTACCTTTTGTGGGCAAAATTTTAATTTTACGGAAATATTTGAAACAAAGTTATTTAAAGTATTCTTATTTTAAAAATGTGTCGTGAATAATGAAAGGAATATTAACAGTTGTTCCGAGGATGGTCAAGCCATGAAAGGCAAAACAATACAGTAATTTATCCTTGCATGATGAACATGTTTTATTTCAAAATCGTCATGAGGTGTTGGTTGTGTAAACTTGCGTTTCTCGTGGTACTAAGTTTGGTGACTCCCCAGTTTTTCCAGTTAAGCGTTGTTTTGGTTATCTTTATTTGAGCGATTTCTAAAGTGTGGTACGCTTTGTCTCATGCCAGTAGTCTATTGGTATTAGAAGATTGGATTTGAATACTTTTCTCCTCAGAAGACTTGAGCCTTGTAGCGTGATACGCTCTGACGTTACTTTGTGGTTCCAGTTCCAGTTATTTTTCGTCTTTTTAAGATTGGCCGAGTATCTATTGTTTCGTGACATCTTATTGTCTTCAAGTTATTCCATCTGTTTGTTTTGTCAGCATAACATTCATTTATTCATTTACACTTATATCACGCATGCATATTCATATTTGCCGTTGATTTTGGGTTGTATACTTTGTTTTTAAGACAATGTACATGTTCTTTCCAAGTAGAAGGTTAGCTTAGGCAGAAAATGTGATTCCTTTCTAAATTCCCCAACTGAACTAATCCTCGTGGATGTTTTTTGATTTATCCTTCCTTGTCCATTTCTGGATAGGATGAATCCCCCGATCAAGTTACTTTCTCATTGGGTGGAGTCTTGTTTGACTGTTTTCTCTCTGGTTTATTCCTGGAGGGAGTTGTTGTCTCTTGCATAGGCTATCTCATGATTTTCCCCAGTGAAGTCGCCACCTAGACGAATGATGCATTTATTTTGCACATTTAAGTATGTGATCTCCTCGGGAAGGATTGATTCATGGTTCTCTTTGACGAAGATTTTATTCTCTGCCAGTGTCATCGCAATTTCCTTCTGAGTTATTCTTCGGAAAATGACAAGCGGCAGCTCTTCATGAGCAACTTGTACGTTATTATTTTTGGAAAACGACAAGCGGCGGTCTCTTCATGAGCAACTTGTACGTTATAGACATCGTTAGAAAACGACAAGCGGCGGTCTCTTCATGAGCAACTTGTACGTTATTATTTTTGGAAAACGACAAGCGGCGGTCTCTTCATGAGTAACTTGTACGTTATTTTTGGAAAACGACAAGCGGCGGTCTCTTCATGAGCAACTTGTGCGTTATTATTTTTTGGAAAACGACAAGCGGCGGTCTCTTCATGAGCAACTTGTACGTTATTATTATTATTTTTATTTTTTTTTTGGAAAACGGAAAGCGGCGGTCTCTTCATGAGCAACTTGCGCGTTATTGATATTTTTCTGGAATACAGCAAGTGGCGGCTTCTTTATTTGAGCAGCTTGTATGTTATTGGTATTTTTTTGGAAGACAGCAAGCGGCGGCTTCTTTATTTGAGCAGCTTGTATGTTATTGACATTCCTGGACGATAGCAAGTGGCAACTTCTTTATTTGAGCAGCTTGTATGTCATGGTATTTTTGGAAGACAGCAAGTGGCAACTTCTTTATTTGAGCAGCTTGTCTGTCATAGTTTTTGACGACAGCAAATGGCAGCTTCTTTATTTGAGCAGCTTGTATGTCATAGTTTTTTGGAAGACAGCAAGTGGAAGCTTCTTTATTTGAACAGCTTGTGTATCTACAACCATATTATTATTTCAGCATTAATTGGTATATCTCCGGAAATCTCGCAGAGAAGTTTGTTATGAATCTTTACCTTCAGAAGTCGGTAATCCATTATCAGCAAATTTGGTACATCTTTTGTCTATCTTTGACCTTGAGTTGTGAACTCACTGTTATTTTGGGTCAATAATCTGTTTTTGTGACCTATGCAAGATGCCTTCTTTGTTAGGGTCAGAGGTCGTATTCTCTCAAATTTTTATTCGCCGTCAAGAGTCTATCATTTGAAGTCGATGGCTCATTTCCCCAGTAGTGTATAATCTATGTTCCTGTGTTTTGTTGGTGTTTGGTTTCTCCAGCATTATCCTGTCTCATACAATATCATTCTCTGTGAATTTAAATACTACATTCATATCACAAACATAATGGCGGTATCTTAGGGCAAAAATTGCGTATTATGTATTTAAGTACCTTCAATCTCGTCGAAGCGAAGATTTTAATCTTCATATCTCCGGATAGAAGAAACTTAAATAGGGGCAGCTGTCATACCCCAATTTTTGACCTAAGATCCCACCTCCCATCTGCATCATTACATTGCAAGTGTTAACAAGCGATTTGACCTATTTTATCAATTTTCAAAGCAGATTTTAAAAATTCATAACTTCTTCAAATTTCGACATTTTTGAGAGGTTATTTTTGCACGTGATTTTCCTTGACATCATCTACAACTTTTCTTTATAAATCAAGGGAAAATTATGCATTAAAAAGCCATGAAAAATTGTTGACGTTAAAAGTTGTTTTGTGAATTTGGTGAAATTTGAGTTCGACTGTGTTTTATTCATGATTTCTTTTCCATTAAAAATTGCAAAAGACGCACTTAACATGTGTTATTATTTTTATTTATTTATTTATAATTTTTTTTATTTCTTTATTCAAAATATAAAAAATATGGTCTTTTATTAATTCTATTTAAATTTATATGTTTGTATCACTTTATTTGAAAAAATCCAAAAAAAATATGTGATTAGCGTCATCTTTATTTTAGTTGTATTTTACATCCAGAAAATCTCAAAGAAAAAATATATAGTTAATACCATTTTCTTTTATTTACATTTTATTTCTTTAGTCATTATAATTTTAGTTCCTTTTTAATTTTGATTTAGTTCTAATATTAATTGAATTTCTTAAATTGAATTATTATTATTACTAAACACATTTTTTTTGTGTCGCTTATTTTAATTTTTTGTACTTTTAGTTTAGTTGTCACTAACAATCTCCTCTTTTTTTTGGTTAATTATTATTACTATTTTTCTTGTTGTTAATTTTGTTTTATCCAAAAAGAAAGAAAATATAAAGTTGGAGGAGGGTCACAGTTTACAACAACATTTTATCTCATCTCTTGTCATTTTCATGCTGCACATCCAAACACAACTATCCAAATTTGCTTCAACTCTTGCCAAATCTTCCCACAAACCTGCTACTGTCATACTGCAAAATCTGCACCATAATACATCCAAGAATCTTACATGAGAATGGCAACTTTTCAAAAACAAGAATAAAGCAAAAAGTCACACTATACTTCCTCTATCTATAGAACAAACTTCAACCTCAGTCAAAAAAAACAACACAATAATTACTCCTTTGAATTTCTTCACAAACCTTCTAACTCCCATGTTATCCCTCTCTTCACATTCACACACATCGCCAACCACCATCACCGTTCAGCACCCACAAACATACATACTCCCTTTTCGTTCATCATTTGTTTTGGACATAACCCATCATCTTCAGTAACAAAACTCTCCAAAAATTAGCAACAATCTTCCTCCAAGCTTCAACTTTGTCCATCATTACAGAAGCAAATAACAACAAACACAACATCAACACCGATGCCGTAACCTGCATAATATACAAAACAATAATACCAGAAACGAAAGCAAAACAAAGAGCAGCAACGTATCTTTCAGATCGACACCTCTTAGAAGTCTCAGAGTCGGTATTTTTCTTAACTTTTGTCATTTATACTCACTGTCATATATGTCTGTTTGTTGTTCAGAACTTTCGAATTGATCTTGATTTCTACCCTAGCCTTTGCTTTCATCTTTGTCAAGTTTTTTTTCAATGTTGTTGTACATCCGCGAGAGAGAATATTACCGAGTAGTTCTCAGATGAGAACTGAGAGACAAGATGCTGTTAATATTATGGTACAAAAAACTAACCAAGAATCATAATCACAGAGGAAATAACACATAACAAAAACAGTAGAAAACACACCATCAATTTCATAGAAATGCAAATAATTCACTTTCATTCATCCATCACCCAAAAACATGTTGTTACACCGTCTTCTCCTCCGCTCTATCCGTTCATCCACCATACCTCCCATTTCCATCACCGCACGATCCTTCGCATTTTTTCTCCATCGAAGAGGCCGCCGCTGGGCGCCGTCGTCGTAAGCGAAGACTTCGCATCGAGCCTCCCTTGAACGCCATTCGTCCTCCACCCCACCTTCCGTACTTTCTGGATCGGCGGTTTACAGTACTGGATTTTTTTAGACTCACTAGGAGATCTAAGGGTTATGGTTTCGTGAGATTTGCTGATGAGGGTGAACAGACGAGGGCTATGACTGAAATGCAAGGTGGTTTTGAAGTAGAATAGAAGAATCTTTGGTGGTGGTGTTAAAAATGAACAGAGGTTAGAGGCAAGGATAAGAGGTTGTAGATTTTGAATAGGGAAGTGAGAGTGTTAATTTTGTTTTATTCGATAAACATTGAAAGAAGAGTTATCAGTAATAATATTTTTTTTTCTTGTCTCTTCCCCTTACTGCCAACCAGCGGCGCACCTTTCATTGCTAGGGTTAAAAAAAAATTCCTTGTTTCTTTTGAGCCGGGTCGAATCTTTTGGGCTTGTTGGCCCAATCATTCTACCGTTATCACCTATTGTTTTATTAAAACATAATTATAACAGTAAAATTGCACAGTTTAATTGGCAAGGCATATTACCAGCAATCTAAAGGTCTTGAGTTCAAGTTCAAGTCCTTGTGAGGTTCTTTTTTCTGTCTTTTATTCTTTTGGACACTTCCCTTTTATTTAGACATACTTAATTAATCATAAGTTTAGTTTGCCGTAAATTATTAACTATTATAAAAAACACATAAAAAATGTTTAATTAAAATTCATCTTTATTTATTTTTGTCAAAATACTATTTAATTCTTATTTTTAGTTTGTGTTGTTGCTTATTTAATTATTCAAAAATACATGTTTCATGATTTAATTTTTGTCATGTGTTTAATTATTTAAAATCTATGATTTAATCTTCATGTACTTTTGGTTATTTATTTAATTGCTAAAATGCATGCTAGTATAATTTAAATTTCATTAGTTAATTGTTTAATTATAATTTTAATTAATTGATCGTTAATCCGCATATCTTTCGTCCGTTTCAATCCAAGGGAATTGTTTAATTTTGCCAACTTCATGTCATCAAACATCGTGCGAATACCCTCATTCATTAAAAACTTAGGATAATTTTCCCAAATATTCGATTTTTTCAAAACTCATACCTTTTAAGTCAAAACCTCGACATTAGGTCGTCGTACCTTCAAAAACCCGTCCGTACCCCTTTTCGGCCAAAACAATTTATTTTTAATCAAACGAACATTTTAATAAACAGATATTTCAAAAGGTTCCTATAGGATACTATAGATGCATTGGGTGCTAATACCTTCCCATTGTATAACCAACCCCCGAACTCTAGACCTCTTTTCAAAAACGCCTTGTATTTTCATTACTTTTAAAGTATTATTTTACATTGCATATTTTAGGGTTTTATTTTGCTCTTTCCCCTTTTCCCTTGGAAATAATAAAGCGCGGTGGCGACTCTTGCTTTTTGTGAGACGAATTAATTAATAGTTCGATCTCCGATTTACCCCGCTACATTTTTTATCGCTACAGATGATACAGAGTGAAAATCTTGTGCTTCACATTATACTTCTTCAACAGATTCTCCATCAGCTTATTTAAGAAGTGAGTACCCTTATCACTGATGAGAGCCCTCGGTACCCCAAACCTAGAGAAAATTTTATTTCTGAGGAAATTGACCACCACTTTAGAATCATTTGTGGGTAACGCGACAACTTCCACCTACTTTGAGACATAGTCGACTGCAACCAAAATATGATTCTTTCCAAAAGAGGGTGGAAATGGTCCCATGAAGTCTTTTCCCCACACGTCAAACAATTCACCTACCAACATGGAATTCTGAGGCATCTGGTTCCTTTTTGAAATGGTACCTGTCCTCTGAAATTTTCACATCCCTTCACAATGCTCTGAGCATCTTTAAACAGAATCGGCAAGTACAACCTAAATTGTAGGACTTTTGCAACTATTCTATCTCCACTAAAATGTCCTCCATATTCTGAGTTATGACAAGCTTTTAGGACATCTCTCTATTCTTCATCTTAGACACACCTTCGAACCGATCCGTCTATTTCCTTCTTATACATGAATGGTTCATTCCACAAATAAAAGCCGTAATCATGCAAAAACTTTTTCTTTTTGTTAGTGTTGAAATCATTAGGTATTATTCCACCTGCCAAATATTTTGCATAATCTGCGAACCACAGGACACCCATAAAAGCTAGGATTCTGTCATCAGCAAACTCATCCTTTATTGGGTGTTTTTCCTACGTCTCTTCTATCAGGGACATTCAGGATAAGTGATTAGCAACAGTGTTTTCACATCCATTTTTTCCTGGATCTCTAAATCAAATTCTTGCAGAAACAAAATCCATCTCAGCAACATTGGCTTTGATTCCTATTTAGAAAAAAAGATATTTCAAAGTAGAATGGTCAATATAAACAATTACCTTCGATTCCAATAGGTACGACCTGAATTTGTCAAAGGCATACACCACCGCTAGCAACTCTTTTTCAGTGGTTTCATAATTCATCTGAACATGATTCAACACATGGCTTGCATAAAATACCACATGCATTAGCTTTTCTCTTCTCTGTCCTAGCACTACTCCTACTGCTATATCACTGGCACCACACATGATCTCAAAAGGTAGAGACCAATCAAGAAAGATCACTATATGGGCAGACACAACCTTACTTTTTAATGAAACAAAGGCCTCACCGCACTTTTTTTCAAAAATAAACAATGTATCCTTCACAAGCAAACTGGTCAATGGTTTTGAAATCTTGGAAAAATCTCTTATGAACCTGCGGTAGAACCCTGCATGTCCTAAGAAACTTCTTATACCTTTCTCATTCATCAGAGGTGGTAAATTTGCAATGACTTCCACTTTGGCTTTGTCAACTTCAATCCCTTTATGGGATATTTTATTCCCCAAAACTATTCCTTCATGTACCATAAAATGACACTTCTCACAATTGAGAATCAAATTGGTTTGCTGACATCTTTCTAGCGCAAGAGACCAATTATTCATACAGTTTTCAAAAGAAGACCCGAAAATAGAAAAATCATCTATAAACACTTCCATGTGCTTTTCAAGCATGTTAGCGAAGATGGACATCATACATCTCTGAAAAGAATTAGGTGCATTGCACAACCCAAATTGTAGTCTCCTGTAGGTGAAAATACTATAAATGCGTGTGAAGCAAACTTCTCTTGATCTTCCGATGCCACTGCAATCTGATTGTATCCCGAGTAACCATCAAGGAAACAATAGTAGTCATGACCCGCTAACCTTTCCAACATTTGGTCAATGAAAGGTAAAGGAAAGTGGTCCTTTCTTGTAGCAGTGTTCAACCGTCTCTACTCAATGCAAACTCTCCAACCTGTAATCGTTCTGGTAGGAATCAACTTATTTTTTCCACTCGTAATGACAGTTGTTCCTCCCTTATTTGGAACCAGATGCACAAAACTTACCATGAGCTATTGGATATTGGGTAAATAAGACCCGCATCCAATAATTTTACAACTTCTTTGCGCATAACTTCTTTCATGGCTTGATTAAGTCTTCTTTGAGGTTGAACCGCTGGTTTCTTCTCATCTTCCATCAGGATCTTGTGCATGCAAACGGTAGGGATAATACCTTTCAAGTATTCAATGGCCCATCCAATAACACCCTTGTATTTCTTAAGTACTTTGATGAGTTCGTTTCTTGAATTTCTTTGAGGCTGGAATTTATGATAGTTGGGCATTTCTCTTCAGTGTCAAGAAAAATGTATTTGAAGTTTTCAGGAATTTGTTTTAACTTTATCCCCTTTTTACCTTTTTTCTTCTATTCTAGGGATTGATGTGGTCTCAATTCTTCCCACAAGGGTGGTTTCGATCTCTTCCACTGAGGTTGTGCTTCAAACATAGCTAGCACTTATGACTCTTTCTCATCTATTACCTCATCACTTTCAGAAATTGACAGGTTAAGAATTCTTTCCAATGGTAATTATGGAATTTTTCTTTGAACTTCCTGAATGAATACTGTGTCCAACACTTCAATATTTTTACTTGTGCGTTCCTCCTCTTTAAATATCATGGTGTCCCTAACATTAATTTCCAACTTTTTATCATATACTTTGAGGGTCATGGTTCCTTCCTCAATATCTATCATGCATCTTCCTGTCTCTAGGAAAGGTGTTCCCAAAATTAACGGGATTTCCTCTTCTTCTGGCATTTCGAGAACAAGAAAATAAACAGGGAACACAAACTTGTAAATCTTCACAAGAACATAAGTTGCAATACTATATGGTCTTTTCATTGAATGATTTGCAAACTGAAGTATCATACGAGTGACTTTCACCTCACCAAGCCCAAGCTTTTTATAAATAGATAATGACATAAGGCTTACACTAGCCATCAAACCAATGAGTGCTTTTTTGAATGATATATCCCCAATGGTGCATGGAATAGTGATTTCACCTCTATGTTTTTTCTTCATTGGAGTTCTTAGGCCCTGCAAAATAGCCCTACAAGTTTCAATTAGAATTACCGGCTCAATGTCAATGGAACGCTTCTTGGATATGATGTACTTCATGAATTTGGCATAAATTGGCATATGTTCCAACGCTTCAACAAAAGGATTATTGATATAAGCTTCTTGAACAATTCCATGAATTTCTCAAAAAAATTCTCATTAAGATCTTTATTCCTTGCTCTTGTAGGATATGGAAAAATGACTTTTTGCTTTGGATCTTTCTACTTCTCCTTTTCCATCACTGGCAGTATCACAACTTCCTCCGCTTGTTTTGGATCCTCTCTGGTCTCTAAATCAACTTCTAACAAGCCTTCCCCTTCAACTACTTCTTCAGCATCTTTTCCACTTGACTCACCACTTCTTGTCACAATCACATTCACAATGTGATTATCTCTTGGATTTTTAAATGTGGTACCAGGTAGAGTGTCAGGTACTTGAGTAGCTGTTGTGCTATCTGATCCATCTGAACCTCTAGCTGTTGTAAAGTCTTGGATGATTCTGCATCATTACTCTAAGTTTCTTCTCCCCAGTATTTCCAGGCGGAGAATCCTTTGATGAGATTTCTTGGTATAAGATCTATATCCCAAGCGGATGTGTGATATTGTGGTATTCATGGGAGAATGTTTATTCCCTGAAGCAAAGATGTCTTATTCCCCAGCCAGGAGTTGAGGTTGGAAATTTTCTTATTCCCCTAAAGAGTTGCCTTTGAAGATTTCT